TAAACTTTCAGGACAAAAAGGGAGGGGAGGGGGGCACCCCCACACACACACACACACACACACACACACACACACACACACCTCCTGTGGATCCGCCTACGGCTTTACATATTGTACCCATGTGGGGAATCGAACCCGGGTCTTCGGCGTGACGAGCGGACGCTTTAACCACTAGGTAACCACGCCGCTCGATAAAAAAGAATGTGTACAATTTGAAAAACATGACCAAAACATGACAAACCTTTTCAAAACGGTACAAAGATGAAAACAGTCGAAGAAGCAATACCTTTGGAATTTAAATATAATCGATGCGACTTATGGCAAGAACAACGGTCCGTTATAATGCTCGTTGAACCTGTGCATTTGATTTGGATAAAATATACTTCATTGTCACCACACTGTATTGAAATACAGTTCAAAAGGAAATGAAACCGTGGATAGCCACAGGCAAACAGAGCGCCCAGTAGGAGGCTGGCCCGAGGGTTCTCCACCTCAGTGGGCGTTCTGTGATTGTGCATACAACGACACACAGTAAACACTTGTAGAGTTATTATGCAAATAGAGTTGTGTGAAATAATGAATTATGGTAAAGAGCCTTATCAGGATTTTCGCACAGTGAATTGCACAGCTTATATTCTGTAAGAATAATTTTCAGTTAACATCGCTGGAACATGATCACCCATTACCAACTACGGTGTAACATGGTTGTAAGGAACTATAGAATAAACCGGTTGTAACGAAGTATAAATGAAATGTGGGATATAAACGGACATCAAACATATTTTGGGGTGACAACCATTATTGGCATGAGTATATATTATAGAAGCATCTGAGTAAAACCGGCTTATAATTCAGCTTACTTGAACTCCATAATGGATAGTGTACGGTCTGAATGATAGTTCCCACGTGGCAAGTGGATAACTGTAACCAATGGCTATAAAACATACAACGAATGTCTATTTAACATACAACCAGAAAACATCTAGTCGCCACATCAAACACATAGGCGTTCTCTACACGGTGACACCTTGGGGAAGATACAAGAAGTAATGTTTAGCTCGTATATATTTGAGTAGTCAAACACATCTTTCTTTATCACCTGTTTACCGCTAATAAACTACCCACCCATGGCTAGGCTATAGGGCTAATCTTACGTCACGTGACCATTAACTGTCACCGTGAGATACCTTTGCCCGGGGTGGCGACACATCCACATTTGTGTGTTTTCGGGTCTCGGTTAATTTTTAAGCGTTGACGGGGACACCGTCTAAAGCTGTATTTTCTTACAATAAACGTTGCGACGTATTGCCTAAGGCTAAAATGTGATGTCATACAGTTATAAAAGTGTCGAGATTTAGGGCATGACGATTCTCAACGGCTGAATTTACAACGTGATTCATCGGCAGTCAGTTACCGGCTGTTTGGGTTAAATTTAGACATACATGCATTACCGCGACATGCTTGAGTTGGATATACATCACAGATAAGAATGTAGGATATTAAACACAATTACATATTTAGAATAAACATGACTAGTTTGAAGTCAACTATTTTATGTCAGAGTTATGTCATATCCTGAAGTATCAAAAGGTCAATTTGCATTCAATTAAAATTGAAATATAATGACCGTCTATTTGTTTTGCCTATTTAAGCATGTTCTACAATATTAGCTGATAACAGTTCTACAGGGTTATCGTTACCACAACAAAGAGTGAATACATCTTCATAAATGTCGACTACTATATTTCTATATGTCTGGGACATCTGCCACCCACGATTCTAATAAAGTTTTTTTCTACCAAATATTTTTATGCACGGTGAAAGAAGGAACTCATTATTGTCACAAAGTACAATACACCTGAATATAATTTTATACCTGCAGTTTGTCAGTTACAATTATGCACTGAACGTGAAAGTGGATTTCATGAATATATATGAATATTATTAATATATAGAATATACCTGTTTACCTGACAAAAGAGGAGGAAATAATAAGTAGTTCAAACTAACAATCTAGACGCCACCAGTCAGCAGGGCCAACATACAGGAGAAATATAGTCACTGACCAAATAGGAACATCTGTTAATGAAGTTTGTTATGCTACATAATATACATTGACAATGACAGAAGCATTTTACAATACAACCAGTAAGTCAATACATTATTATTTTCTTTATGAAATCGTGTATTTAAACACTATAAATTGCATAAGTATCAACAGCTGAACACAATTGAGGAAACGAGTTTTCGGGTGGTCGGTTTTCTACTTGTTAAAGCATTCGTAAAGGCCCGAGTTCGACGCCCGACGTATGAAACCCATTTCTGATATTCCTTGCCTCGATATGCCTGAAAATACCTACAACAAAACTCACTCATTCCCTGTTTCAATTTCCAGTATAAACCATTAACATTTGAGTTTAGGAGTCGAGGGTCTGACCCTAAGTCAGAAGTAGGACGCCTTGACCTCTTTACCGATGGGATTGTCACTATCTGGTTAACAGGTAGTCATGGCAAAATGCCCTTTGTATGTATAGGATGACACAATAAAAGACGCGTTTTCATTATCGGTATTATATATTGCTACATACACTGGCTTCTCAGCTTGCAGCAATATTTCATTAATATGTATTAAGTAACAAATGAATATATGAATCTGAAAAATAACATCACTTATTGCAAACATACTGATCGCATCTCGTCACACGATAAAGCTGATATTTTCACGAGGTACCACGTGGGTGGGTGAGCGGATGAGTTTGAGGGAGTTAGTGAGTGATAATGAACTGAATAATTAAAAATAATTGAAATGCAATCAAAGTAATTTCCAAATCCCCATATAGATTAATACAACATGATTTCAAACCAGCGATTATGCATCGTCGATTAATGTATTTTTGTCACAAGTGGTTAAAATAGACCATGATGGGGAAACAGTCATGAGTGAGTGAGTTTAGTTTTACGCCGCACTCAGCAATATTCCAGCTATATGGTGGCGGTCTGTAATCGAGTCTGTACCAGACAATCCAGTGATCAACAGCATGAGCATTGATCTATGCAATTGGGATACGATGACATGTGTTAACCAAGTCAGCGAGCCTGACCACCCGGTCCTTTTAGTCGCCTCTACGACAAGCATGGGATGCTGAAGATCAGTTCTAACCCGGATGTTCCCGGCTGTAAAAGCCATGAACCTCGCCCTGCCATGTATCATGTAAGTTATACCGTGATGCAGAATGAAGCTGGCAGGAGTTATTACAGCTATGTAATGTGTAATCAACTGTTTACTGTTATGTCACTGCAACCTAGCCTCTAAAACAGCGCCGCTGGCAGTCCGGAAATGTTACTAATCTGCTGACGCAGTACTTAAAATAAGAGGCGAGAGTTAAATTTCATGAATTTAATTTTGATAATTTGCACTAATCTTCGAACAATTCCACAAATCTGTATACATGAAGTAAATACAACATCCAAAAATCATGTCGATATAAAAGTCAGGCAACTTGAATGAAACTATCCAGGTTTTTCAGGAGTTTAGTGAGTTGGGTTTTACGCCGCTTTCTGCAATATTCCAGCAATATCACACCAGAAATGGGTTTCACACAATGTACCCATGTGGGGAATCGAACCCGGGTCTTCGGCGTAACGAGAGAACGTTTTAACCACTAGGCTACCCCACCGCCCCTGTTTTTCATGAACTCCGTGTCTCCAAAATATATAAACATTAACACTTGTTATCTGTTATTACCTTGTCGCACCAAAAGCAATGCCACAATTTGAATGAAAATATCAAACATTGTTATAAATGATCACCACTAGACATACCAATCACTAATATCATTAGAAGTGTTATTGAAGTATAACTGTTATCTATTATTGTCAACACAGCAGTTTTCCAGCAGATTTAGCCTCTTCAACATACATGCACCTCATCATGCAAGTATATTAACTGAGTGCGACGTAAGGGAGAAGTGTAACATTTCATGACATATCCCTAACCTAGTTCCGACAGCGTATAACCCTCACACATAAAGTCAAGGCAACTAACATCGTATCTACTTACTTACGTATGACATGTCTTCATTGTTAAAGGGCATGACATCTCTGAATTATTATTGAAAGAAACCCAAGTATTTGTTTGAAATAATTTTACCGAGTCACAGTGTAAACTGCGACTCCGCGTGATGACACGGAGGGTGGTACATAGTGAGGAGGAACTCGAGCAACAGGAGGTTGTTGATTCATTATCACCGAGTTGTCCTGTGAGAAGATTCATAGCATCCATGTGGAATCGGGACTACATCCCCCATGACACACACAGCATACTTTCCTCAGTGTGTTTACCATTGTCGTGAATATAAATACGTGCAATACGTATACATCAGATATATCCAGCGACTTGTATATCGCTGCTGTATATATGTCACATTATGTATATCACAGTATAATGGCATTGCTAACGCACATATGAAACAACACGTGACCTGTAGAGATTTTCACGAGTACTATAAAAGTATCATATTTAACGTTTTTAGCTGTAAAATACATCGGTTTAAATTACTCCCATGTACAAGCAAGAAATGTGTGTGCTGCCTCCAAGGTATAGTAATATGTTATTAATCTGGGAGATATTGTTCAAAGTGAAAATATTGATCCGTCGTATTAGATAAACTGCTGGACCAGAAACGTATATACCCATATTTTATGGTTGATAAACATGAAACAATAAAGAAATGGTTATTGGATGAATTATATATCATACACGTGTCAAAGTTATATTTTAAATCTCAAATTTGCAGCTTTTCTTGCGCCTGCTTTCAACCCAGTGACGTTTTGTAAACTTTTATAATGTTTTCACCAAATACATTTTTCAATTATATACCTCCGTTGGCCCCGTTGTTGACGTTGCTATTCTGGATTATCCAGGTTTACTGTATTCAATTTAATCTTCAATAACAAAGTTGACGTTCAAAGTATGATGAATAAAAAGTAAATAGACTTACTGTCAATGCCAATGAATATATTCCCATCGTTTACATGTTGGGGTGAGGGTTGGCCACCACCCTCAGATGGTGCACTGTGACCTGTATCCGCCATTTCGGGGGTGCGAGGGCGACCCTACATCATGATGTACTCCCAAGTCCCGTCACACCTTACCTGGAAGTTAAACACGCAGGGAGACTCGATAACAAGCACAACACAGACATTGATCGGTTACTTTAGAGAAGCATGGAGGTGTTGAACATCTGGGGGCATTGCAACGACGTACCAGATGTTGTCGAAGCCGTGTGTGACGCAGGAGCAGGTATTCCACATATCACAGGCCCAGCGTTAGAGAAGGGACTCTCTAATCGATATCATCCAGAAACTGTTTACGTGGCGCGATCACAGTCAAACAAACTTTAATAAATATCTAAATAATTGATTTTAATATATATTGCTAAATTGACACCAAGACATAAATCACTCTGAGTTTTATTAATACCGCCCTGTTGTCTTATCAGTTTCTTTGGTACATATACATGCATATGCTCAAACCAGGTCACACCTGGCTCGATAAAGCTGAACTCAGCATGAGGCTAACTTAGGTAAATTTGTACAATAAATAGATTGTCGATAATTTGAGAATTTATTCAGTGACACACCAACCAAACTACGTGTTGACATTTGGAAATATTAATATAACAGCTTTGAAAGAGTCGGAAGAAGAACATATGCTGATATTTACCTGTTGCTTGTCGGGCAGGTAGAGAGAGTGAGAGAGAGAGCAGGCGCCCCTGGCACAGCACTTCACCTACAGATTAGTGTTCTGGCTAGTGACGTCACAGACAGCCTCGGGCACCAGTTGCTTCTCGTGACACTATGGTAACTGTCATCAATCTGGACCGTCTAAGAAACCGCCAGTGATCGGTATTTGGAAATGTGATATTTATCTATTGATTCAATAATTTATATTAATCCTGTGACACGAATATTCGCTAATGTAAACATTGTCAGTTATCCTGGGAAGCACTTTGCATCTTATCGTAGCGAGAAGTAGATTATCAACGAACGGATCACTGTTGTTTCACCTGGATTGGGAATCTCAGAAACAATAAAAAAACAGTGGTTTCAATTAAATTTTAGTAAATAACACATCCTCGAGTTTGTTATTTATGAGATGACGTCACACTGTTTGTATTTGTCATCCATTTAACACAACATTCAGAATATCCCAGTTATACGAAGATGTAGATGATCGAACCCAGATCAAAGTCCAGTGATCGGTATTGGTAGCAACGATCCACGCGCTGGTCGTCGACGATCACATGTTGTATCCCGGGGCTCCACGTGGTGTCTGTAACTGAGGCTGTCGGGACATGTACGTTGACATCGTTTTTAAGATATTGTGTTCTGTGGTCTCATTGGGGTGGTTTCTTAACGTACTTTCGTCATGGACGGTTCTCTCTGGAGATACGAGCGTAATGTACGTGGTCTCATTGCAGACACTGTCGTAATGTAATTAACTGATCTCATTGCAGATACCATCGTAATGTTAAGTGGTCGACGTCTCACTACAGATATTATCGTAATGCATTTTGATCTTACTGGTGATACCCTCGTAATACTGGATGATGGTATGAGATAAGATCGTAACGTGCTGTGTTTACACGGGAAATGACGTTATAATGTACTGAGATCGCATGGTATATACGATCATAACGTACTGTGTTTACACGGGAAATGATGTTATAATGTACTGAGATCGCATGGTATATACGACCATAACGTACTGTGTTTACTCAGGAAATGATGTTATAATGTACAGAGATCGCATGGTATATACGATCATAACGTACTGTGTTTACACGGAAAATGACGTTATAATGTACTATAGTGGCAAGGTATATACGATCATAACGTACTGTGTTTACACGGGAAATGACGTTATACTGTACTGTGGTATCATGATATATATGACCATAACGTACTGTGTTTACACGGGAAATGACGTTATAATTTACTGAGGTCGCATGGTATATACGACCATTACGTACTGTGTTTACACGGGAAATGATGTTATAATGTACTATAGTGGCATGGTATATACGACCATAACGTACTGTGTTTACACGGGAAAAGACGTTATAATGTACTGAGGTCGCATGGTATATACGACCATAACGTACTGTGTGTACACGGGAAGTGACGTTATAATGTACTGAGGTCGCATGGTATATACGACCATAACGTACTGTGTTTACACGGGAAATGACGTTATACTGTACTGTGGTGGCATGTTATATACGATCATAACGTACTGTGTTTACATAAAATGAAATGACGTTATAATGTACTTTAGTGGCATGGTATATACGATCATAATGTACTGTGTTTACACGGGAAATGACGTTATACTGTACTGTGGTGGCATGTTATATAAGATCATAACGTACTGTGTTTACAAATGAAATGACGTTATAATGTACTTTAGTTGCATGGTATATACGATCATAACGTACTGTGTTTACACGGGAAATGACGTTATATTGTACTGTGGTGGCATGATATATACGACCATAACGTACTGTGTTTACACGGGAAATGACGTTATAATGTACTGCGGTGGCATAGTATATACAACCATAACGTACTGTGTTAACACGGGAAATGACGTTATAATGTACTGTGGTGGCATGGTATATACAACCATAACGTACTTTGTTTACACATGATATGACGTTATAATGTACTGTGGTGGCATGGTATATACGACCATAACGTACTGTGTTTACAACATGAAATGACGTTATAATGTACTGTGGTGGCATGGTATATACGACCATAACGTACTGTGTTTACACAGGAAATGACGTTATAATGTACTGAGTTCACATGGTATATACGACCATAACGTACTGTGTTTACACGGGATATGACGTTATAATGTACTGAGGTCGCATGGTATATACGACCATAACGTACTGTGTTTACACGGGAAATGACGTTATAATGTACTGTGGTGGCATGGTATATACGACCATAACGTACTGTATTTACACGGGAAATGGCGTTATAATGTACTGTGGTGGCATGGTATATGGCATGGTATATATATTTATAACGTACTGTGTTTACACGGGAAATTGGACGTTATAATGTACTGTGGTGGCATGGTATATACGATCATAACGTACTGTGTTTACACGGGAAATGACGTTATAATGTACTGAGGTCGCATGGTATATACGACCATAACGTACTGTGTTTACACGGGAAATGACGTTATAATGTACTGAGGTCGCATGGTATATACAACCATAACGTACTGTGTTTACACGGGATATGACGTTATAATGTACTGTGGTGGCATGGTATATACGACCATAACGTACTGTGTTTACACATGAAATGACGTTATAATGTACTGAGGTCGCATGGTATATACAACCATAACGTACTGTGTTTACACGGGATATGACGTTATAATGTACTGTGGTGGCATGGTATATACGACCATAACGTACTGTGTTTACACGGGAAATGACGTTATAATGTACTGTGGTGGCATGGCATATACGATGATAACGTACTGTGTTTACACGGGAAATGACGTTATAATGCACTGAGTTCGCATGGCATATACGATCTTAACGTACTGTGTTTACACTGGAGTGAGTGAGTAAGTTGGATTTTACGGCGCTTTTAGCAATATTCCAGCAATATCACGGCGGGGGACAGTGCTCTGTGTTATAATGTACTGTTTGCATAGAGTAGCGTATGTGCGTAAAATATGCGGATAGTATGCATGTACGTGTACGTGTACGTGTGCAGTGAATAGATGCAGTGGGCGTACAATTGCGTGCTACACTGTATATGTGTAGATTATCGTAATGCATTGTATATAGTATATATATATATCCATGTATGTATAAAGCGTGTAACATTTGTACAATGAATATATATAGCTATATTAAAAAAAAAGGTTCAGCCATTCGCTTGTGGCATCGTGTCATATAGATGTGTAATAAAGGTATGCACGTGGGCGTTTGCACGAGTGCCCGAGTGAACCGTGTCGTGAATAATCAATCTGGGTACCTACATGACTGTCTGTCTATGTCTCTGCATGTCTGTCTGGTAATATTTAGAGTCGCTCGTCTATATGTATGTCTGTATCTATGTCTGTTGGTTAAATTACAATTCTAGTACCTGGCTTGTTTGTCAAAACTCACTCACTCACTGTGATGAACACAGACACAGACACGCCAGTGTCGACGCCACAGTCGATGTAATACAGACGTATGCTACACTGGTGTCTTGACGACGTAATATGGAAATGGTTACGGCGTCTAACACGTAAGATTTATTGCACTACACATTACACAGTTCGGTGATCACACCGCCTACGATAATCAAAGTCAAAGGTGCAGTTGTTCAAGTGTCGGCTGAACAGAACATATAATATGGGGAGCTGTTGCTTTGTGAATAACATACAGATTCTGATTCGATAGTTGTGAGTATATTCTCAAACTTTAAATAGCCTCATTTTTAGAAACTGACAAAATATCATAAAAAATGATTTTTTAAATATTAAATTTGAATTACAATTTTGCTATAATCTCAACCGGTGCACAGCTAAATCTCTACACCATCAACTGGATTTATTCTGGACTCGTTTTGTCCACCAAAAAGAAATATGACGTCACTGAATTGTTTAAACGTTCCATTACCTTTCTGTAAGGGTTGGGAATTACTCTGAACCAGCATATCAACTTTTGTACAGTTGGAATTGACCGAAATGGTTTTGTTTTTGTAACTGTTGTTTTGTAAATGAAAGATTATTAATGTCGGAAATTATATGTGACAGTTTTCAATTTAGAAGTTACGCTTATGTGTAATGTTGTCTTACGTTATGCTAACAAGAAAGTTCTTCGTTATGAAGCAACTGGATAACATCTGGACCAGAAGAACGAAAACACCACAAGTTCTCCTTGTAGTTAGACAAATATACTGTTATACAACACTGCCGCTCGAGTACATGCACTTCGACATTTACACGGAATCTAGGGCTGAATAAGAAATTTTAAACTGATTCACCCCGACCTGTATCCATACAACAGTACCTTTGAAGGACTGTCTCTGTCAATCTATTACTAAACAGGTACATGTTTGACAAGCTGTTCGTTTGTATGAAATATATAGGAAATATATCCTTCATGTATGTCTGAATCCATCCGTCTTCCTTGGTTTTTTTAACACTGGATTAAAGTGAAGATCAAATAGAGGTTGACAAGGAGTTTAGCTGTCGCGACATACTGGCCACGCACTCTATCAACAGCATGTACTTGATATGGATATTACACTATTTACAGCAACTGTTCTTTACTTAAACCGTTACGTTAGGTACATTGTCTACAGAAAACAACGAATTCATGCACAGCAACCTTAAATAACTTGTCACCGGGTTTGGGTTGGGGCGTTCATGGTTTGAGCAGGGATAACTCCTACTGGACGTACTCTACCGCACGTGGTCGACGGTGATCATACCGGACAGCGTTATCGGGACGAGATTCTGGCTTTTATAGCAGTACCATCCCTGCAAGCTATGCATGGCTTTTATGGTCGACCCTCCTTACTGCAAGATCTCAACGCTAGGCCTCACTGACCCAGGATTGTCACGGAATTACTTGGGCAGCAGGGTGTAGAGCGGATGGAGTGGCCAGCATGCTCGCCAGACCTCAACCCAATTGAGCATGCCTGGGATGAACGCGATCGACGTGTGTACACACGTCACCCAGCACCGGTGGATCTGCCAGGACTCCGCAGAGCTCTAGTAGAGGAATGGAATGCGATTCCGCAAAGTTTCTTTATGAATT